AATATAACAGCGTCGTGTTTTTCACTTTCCATTTTGCTCCAAACAACACACTGCTTCGTCATAACCTGCTGAGCGGGGGGCTGCCAAGGCCGTCAACTACTCCATCCTACACCTCGGTTCCACTGTGGCATGGTCTAATCCAGGGAATAGACTGAGGCAATGGGTTATCGGAGGTTTTGTTAATGGAGTACAAAGGCTATCCATTGCCTTGGTAGACTAGGCTTTAAACATTATGTTTTTAGCAATTTGGAATTTTCTACTTTTTCCACTGAATTATCCATTATGTTTTGGACTGTTCGATTTTCACATTTGCAAATATTGAGCACAAAAACTCGCAATAAATGCCAAACAAATTACTCGTATAAACGTTATCACATATGCAGACGTAACTATAAATCTAAACTACAGCGGTTTCAACTTCCCAGGAACTTGGAATTGGTTGATTTTTGGACTTTTTCACTTTTGCAGCCTCAGCTTGCGCTTGAAGAAGACCATGGAATTCCAAAGTAATAAACTTCTCACTCACCGACAATGTCTTCCGCACCTTCTTTCGCTTGTCGATTTTCGGAGGTAAAAGTAACACTAATTTACGAACCGATTTCACGCGTTCGAGCCACGTCGCCTGACCTTCGAATGGTTGCTCTGTCGACGGCTGAAAGTGCGAAAGACGGTACAACATGGCATTTAATGATAGCGGGCACAGTCCAGTCGACTCAAAGCCACTGACAATCGTTCCTGACTTCATCAAATTGTCCCACACGTCGCAAGCCACAGCAACTGCCCTCTTTTTGGTCACGCTGCTGCCAACATTCGACCAGAGACCATCCGCAACCTGGGAACGAATTGCACGCTTGAATGGGCGAAAGATTGTTACGTCCAGCTGCAGCAGTACGTGGGTTGAATTGGACGGTAAGAATTGCAGCAAGATTTTCTACTGCTTGGCTTCTTGGACAATATGATCGGAGTAGTGCGAAGAGCAGCCATCAACGATCAATATGATTGGACGGGCCACAGATTGAGGTACGGCTTATTAACATTGCAAGCTACTTTCGAAATATGAATGAATTTGTCCAGCCTTTCTTTGACGTAGTGAGGGCGGCTCCAGGAACCAATTCATCAGAATCGTCCGTGCCAACGCGATCGCCAGGTAAGATGGTTTTGTCCCATCTGCACTGACACAAGCAGCAATGTTCACATGAGTGGTCATGGTGGGTTCAGTCACGTATACTCTTTTTGACGACTTTCGTGCCACGACAATAGGTGATCCTTTGGTTGGGGAAAAACTTGTTTCGTCCATGTTGAATATTCGACTGGGGTCGAAGTCGACGCATGACATTGAATGAATCAATTCATGGTAAAAGTCCAAAAGTGTTTCTGGCGTAACAGAACTTCGGGCTGTGGACAAAACTTGTGCCTTCGTTCTTTTGAGTACTGGGTGGCGCTTCAGAAATCGATAGTACCAGCCTGTCGTAAGTGGTGCTGGCGGTACAATGCCGTGAACAACTTGGAGTATTTCGTTGGCCTTCTGAAGCACTTTCTCTCGCCCTATTGCATGACCGTCGGTTTCCACTCCGATTTTCCATGCAACGAGGTCCAACTCAAATGCTTTTGGTAACGCTGTTGCTGGACCGAGACTTGATGAGGTTGTTGCACGACCAAGTAACGTTAGCTTTGTTTTCTGCAAATGGTACCGCAACAAGTTCGTATTGGTATTCCATACTTCATCGCAACATTCACTGCCGTATTGGTCTTGTTAATAATGTCGTCGATGGCATTTGCCATGTCGTCAGCCGAGTACGTCGTTTTCGGCGCCATTTTGTGTCAAATTTTGAAATCACTCTTACATTTGATATATTTCCCTCCATTCCAGTATCAGAGGTTTGCTTTGTCAAAGGATTTTATTTTAGCCAATACCAGTAGCTTTTCAATCCTATTGGTTGTTGAGAAGGTGTAAAGCACTGATACTAGTGCAAATCACTGGTACGCTACGTTATCTATCTTTCTGTTTCTGTTCATGTGTCATTGATTTTCACAACTGCCAGAAGCCAACAGATATATTAACTTGAAGAACAATCTGGTCTTGCCTGGAAGGTCAACATGATTGTCTTCTCGAATTAACGCTTCATCAAGCAAGGTTATCGACGACTTTGTGGAAAGTTGAGTGTGTCTACTTGTGTACTGAAAAATTATTGAGTGCACTGTATCGAATCATAATACACGCAAAATAAATCTATTTTGGCTTTATCCTCTAATATCATTGCCTCGTTAAAATGTACTACCTCTGGTTGGTAGTAAGTGCAGGCAGAAATTCATAGGTATACAAATTTGAAGTGAAATGAATCAGTATTTAAAAAAATTACCATGCCATGACATTGACCAAATCTGACAGTTCATCCATACGATCTTCCGCTTCAAGGCGCAAGTTCATCATTTCCAAAGCAACAAAATCTTCCTCGGTCGCCTTGCTGCGTGGTATCTTGTACTTATTGTCGCCGTTAATGTCGATGATCACATGCATAACACGCTTCC